TTATATATGTACAAAAATAAGGGTTAATACTATGAAGGGAGGGAATATGACTGTAAAGATGAAAATTATAAGAGATTTTATAAAAGGCATTGATAAGATTAGAAATTGGTTGAAAAAAGAAAGAAGATTTAAAAAAAAAAAGGAGAGAATGTAATCAGGCAGGACACTAGAACAAAGCCATACACTAGAGATTTAGGGTATATTTTGATCTGTTAAGAAGAAACTGTATCTCAAAATTTTAAAGAGAACAACTTATATATATATATATATATCAAAAATAAGGGTAACTACTATGAAGGGATAGAATATGACTCTAAAACTGAAAAATAAAAAAGATTTTTTAAAAAATGGATTGATAAGATGTTGGTTGAAAAAGGGAAAAAGAAAAATTCAAAAAAAAAGAGAAAAGACAGTTAAAAAAATTACCTTTGAAAGATTAAAGAATCATGGAGAAAAAGCTGTGAATTCTATGTTCAGTATTCCCCTAGTGCTGGAGTTCTGCCGTTCTCATTGATTTGTAAACTTGGTCTTGACTGGCTATTCTAGCTGATCTTCTGGGGGAGGGGTCTGTTGCCATGGCTCCCAAATGTCTTTGCTGGAGGCAGAATTGCCCCGCCCTTGCTGGGTCCAGGCTAAGTTATTTGCTCGGGTTTGCCCTTGGGAGCTTTTGTTCCCTACAAGCTTTCCCTACAGCTTTGGAGGATGATAGTGAAAATGGCGGCCTCCTAATTGCTGCCCTGGAGGATCCGAGAACTTGGGGCCTCACTCCTCAGTGAGCCCCCAGAGAAAAGCAGTCAGTCACTTCCATTTCCCTGTTCTCTGGCCACAGTCTGTGCCCACCTGGCCTGTGACCGAGCATTTCTATCTCTGGCACATGACCCCATGTGGAGTCTCCAAACCCAGCAGATCCCTGCGGTGCGCTCCCATGCCACTCTTCCCAGGGGAGGAAGGGGAGTCTCCCCAGATCTGCTGCTTGTTGGGTCCCTGCTGGAAAAGATCTGACTGTGCTGTGGATCATGGTTTATGGCAACCCCGAGCTGAGAGCCCACTCCTAGGCTCTGTCTCAGCAGCTGGCTTCCTTGCTCCGATACCTGGGAGCTCTGCTGCACTCAGGCACCCCTGGTCTTTCTGTGACCCTGAGGGTCCTGAGACCACACTGTCCCAGAGAGGGTTCCACCCCTCACTTAGCCACTGGAGCGACATCCCTCAGCGGAGCCGACTTCTAAAAGTTCTGATTTTATGCTCTGCGGCTCTACCACTTGCCAGAAGTGGCCAATGGAGGCCCCCTCCCCTGCTGTCTATCCTCCCAAATATCGCCTCGGATTCACTTCTCCGCATGTCCTACCTTCCAGAAAGTGGTCATTTTTCTGCTCAGAGAGTTGTTGCTATGCTTTTCCTCGATCTCCTGTTGAGTTCGTAGGTGTTCAGAATGGTTTGATCCCTATCTAGCTGAATTCCTGGCACTAGACGAAATCCACGTCTCCTACACCTGGGCTAAGAGGTTTAGTAAACATCAGAATATAAGTCTTATTGGAACGATGCCAAATGTCCTGTTGTACCCCAAACCGGTTTTCATTAGCTGACAAACATACAACAATTTATAGTGATGCATTTTAAGGGCTTCCTGCAGCCATGAACATTATAATTTATTTAAGACATAACATATTTGCATAAGATGTTACCAAGCAAAAAACCAGACACTGGGAAACATAGAATCAAAACAGTTTATTTTTTTATTTTTATTTTCTTAGGATTTCTACATAAGTGAGAGAGAGAGAGAGAGGGAATGAGTTGGGGGGAGGGGCAGAGGGAGAAGCATCCTCCCCTCTGGGTAGGGAGCCTGATGCGGGGCTCCATCCCAAGACCCTGGACTCATGATCTGAGCTTCCCAGGACCCTGGGATCATGACCTGAGCCTCCTAGGGCCCTGGGATCATGACCAGAGCTGAAGGCAGATGCTTAAATGACTTGAGCCACCCAGGCACTCCATGAAGACAGTTTTGAAACATGGAGTTGGGGCAATTTTAGGGTTGTGAGTGCTGGCTTCTGGGGAGCAGAGGAATCGTCCCACTAGAAGTCACAGTACTTCATCCATCCTGGGTTTTCAGCATTTGGTAAATGTTTTCCAAGTTGTTTTTGCTTAACATCAACTCTTTAAGTAGCAATAGACCAATAATTCCTTGTTTCCATTCATACGTCTGAGGAAAACATTGTGTTTCCCCTAGAAATGTTAATACCACGAAAAACATTTTCTATGTGCTACAAAGGTGTAGAAATGAATTTTTTTTCTTGATGTCTTTGTTAACTCCTGGGGGAAATTACTTTTAAAGGACTCAAACATTATTTTTAGACTTTCCATATGTCAGGATTGAAAATGCTTCCAAAGAAATAGTATTTGGGGTCTTTTTTGCTTGCATTATTTTATATTTAATATCTGGTGTTTAGAAGCATAATGCCTAATTTCACTCCCACAGGCTCCTTTATTTCATACTGATCTAATCTTCTGTGTCTCAGCTTCTTGCATTTAGTTTCTACTTCTATTTTTTCATCTGCATCAGTTCACGTCTAAGTGAACTCTGACATTTATGGTGCTGTTCATTTCTCATACCACAATGCACTAACGATTTCTTTTTACTAGGCAGTATGCACTGAAATTGCCACCTGATTATCTTTTATCTCTTGCAACTGTGTAGTTGGGTTACTTGTAGGTCTATGTATCGAGATTTTTAATCAGTCTTGATGTGGTCCATTAATCATTTGATACATTTATAAGAGGCTTCTTTTATTTGCCTAGTGCATAGACTAAATATTTTAAGATGTACCCTTTCTGTGTCATCTTTTTTTTTTTTTTAAGATTTTATTTATTTATTTGAGAGAGAGAGAGAATGAGAGAGAACACATGAGAGGAGAGAGGGTCAGAGGGAGAGGCAGACTCCCTGCCGAGCAGGGAGCCTGATGTGGGACTCGATCCAGGGACTCCAGGATCATGACCTGAGCTGAAGGCAGTCGCTTAACCAACTGAGCCACCCAGGCGCCCCCTTTCTGTGTCATCTTAACAGATGTTCTGTCAATTTTCTTTAGTTCTTTTAACGTCTATTTAAGCCAAGAACACAACTGCCCACAAATTAATTTCCTTCCCTAGACTGCCTGAACAAATGATAAAATGAAAAAGAAACAGCTTCAATGAAAGGTGTGAATCACAGCACGGGGCACTTAGATGAAAGGGCCTATAGTTACCAATGATGTAAATAAAAATGCTTTTTTGTATGAGGCAGCACAGTCATGGGTTTTGTAAAATCCACCAGAAGGGTGGATTTTAATAAAATGGCAAAACGCTTCATTTAGCATGTGGTGTGTTAGTATTGGAGGTGGGACTGATGGCCACCATTGTAAGTGAAAGGCCCAGAAATGTCAAACTCATTATTTCTGTTGAATTTCTCCAGCCTACACTACCTGCCTTTGTGATGCTTAGCTCTTCTGGGTTTTCTTCCCATTAGATCAAAATTTCTCCATTGATCTAGCAAATTGGTCATTTTACTGCTAGGAAAAAATATGAAATGTCTTTCCTATTTTTTGGTAGGATGTAGTCTTGGATTAAAAATATAATTTTTCTATGAGAACATATAAAATATAACAAAGCTACATATGAAATATAACAATGCCAGACATGGCTAGTTGTGAGTTTTAGTTACTATTAAAAAGTTGAAGTCAAATTTCCCAACAGTTGTGCCTTGACTAAATGACTTGCCATAACTACTACCTACTTTTGCTTTATAGCTCTTCTACTGTCATGAATCCATTTTTTAATGTAGAAATATTTTTGCTCACTTCAAATTATTCCTAGCAATTTAAAAAGTTCGTGTAATGTCCGGAAAGAACATCACGCTGGGGGTTGAGTGGCCTAAATTCTCATCGTGTCTCTGAGAGTTATTCAGTTCAACCTCCCCCAGCCCAAATTTCTTCATCTGTGGAACATGGAGCCTGAGCCTGCTGATCTGTGGGATATTTTCCACCTTGACTTTTCTAAGACTCTATTACAAATATCTTGCAGGCATTCCTGAGGGCTTTCATGAATTTTATGACCTTATAATTTATCTTTTACCATTGTTTAGCCTAGTGCCTTACTTAGAATTGAAGACTTTTAAAAGTCTTTATTACTTAAACACAATGTGAAAGCTGAAACAAATACAATTTGCTGAATATTATTTATTTTATCATGATTCTTGTAAATCCAGATGGTGAGGAAGAGCAATGAGGGGTAAGTACAAAGATCTAACAGCAAGGAGAAGAGGTCAGGTCATCTCATAGAGTTGTTTGGAAAATGCCATCACTTAGGCATTATTGCCCTTAAATAGTCATATAGATTTCTTTTTCATATTAATAAAAGAGTCATGAATAGATTGTATAACTGCATATGCATCTATTAGCTATTTACTATTTAAACAAATTCAACTGTAAAAGATCTGAAGGTTTGGAAATCTTGACCTAAATGTGAGTTTTCAAAAGGTATCATAGCACGTGTTATAGGAAACATTTTTTTGCTGAAATTAATAGAGCAACTGGTAGCAAATTTTATGATGTGTATGAAAATTTGGAGGAAACAATTTTGTGAATGGTTCAAATACAATTTGTAGTTTTATATATGTCTATTGCAGTTAGTAAATAACATATGAAGCAGACTTCATAAGGTTTAGAAATAATTCCTTCCTACTAACTACTACTTTTTTGCTTTGCATATCAGCTATGTATATTTTTGGTTTCTTTGCAAGCAGGCACAAACATACACAAGCACCTATACATTCTTAATAGCTTTTGTGAAAATAATTGGAAACAAATTCTAATTAAGTAACACATTTAAACATATTTCCTTTTTTCCTTTACTATTAACAATGTTAGAGTAATTTTTAATTTTGATATAATTTTTCATTCTCTTTAGCTCCTCCGCAATTCACAATAACCCCCCGGGATCAAGTGGTGCTAGAAGGACATACTGTAGAATTTCTCTGTGAAGCTGAAGGGAACCCACCTCCAGTAATTGCCTGGACCAAAGCAGGTATTAGCATATCAACAAGTGATTGTGAAAAGAGATAAATACCTTCTTTATTATGAGGGGATAAAAAACAGTTTAAACTAATTATCATAGGTATATTGTGAACATGAAAACATCACACAAAATGTAATCTTTGAATTAATTATGTCATCATAATTTCTGTTATGTGTTAAGTTTCAACATTTGAATATGTGGCCTTCCTCAGATAATGTCTCTGGGACTCAGTTTCCTGATCTATTTTTTTTTTTTTTTAATTCTTTCATTCTCCCACACCTCTCCTCTCTGGCAACCACCAGTTCATTCAGTTTCTTGAGATTTATTTATTTATTTATTTACTTATTTTCAAAGATTTTTATTTATTTGTCAGAGAGAGAGAGAGAGAGCACAAGCAGGGGGAGTGGCAGGCAGAGAGAGATGCAGACTCCCTGCTGAGCAAGGAGCCCATTGCGGGACTCAATCCCAGTACCCTGGGATCATGACCTGAGCCGGAGGCAGGTGCTTAACTGACCAAGCCACCCAGGTGTCTTAGTTTCTTGATTTTTAAAATAAAATTATTGGACAGTTAGTGGTTTTAAATATTTTTTAAAATGGCAGAATTCTCTTTTTGTACAAAGTGAAATCGTAAGTGCAGTTAAACCAACCATAAGTAAAACTCTAGCATGTTAAGTGGGTAAAAGAGAGTTACTTTTGGTGAGGGGGTGGGGCGCTTGGGTGGCTCAGTAGGTTAAGTATCTGCCTTAGGCTCAGGTCATGATCCCAGGGTCCTGGGATCAAGCCCCACCTCAGGCTCCCTGCTCAGTGGGGAGTCTGTTTCTCCCTCTCCCTCTGCCCCTCCACCCACTTGTGCGTGCTCTCTCTCAAATAAACATTTATTTATTTATTATTATTAAGTATTTATTTAAAAATATAATATTTATTTATTTATAAGTATATTAAGTTATTTATTTTATTTATTTATAAGTATTTTTATTTATTAATAAGCATAAAATAAATATTTATTTATTAGTAAATAATTATTTATTTGCAAGAGAGAGTGCATAAGAGAGCATGGGTGGGGGGAGGGACAGAGGGAGAGATCTTTAAGCAGACTCCCTGCTGAGCATGGAGCCCTACATGGACTGGATCTCACCAACTCATGAGATCATGACCTGAGCCAAAACCAAGAGTTGCTGGCTTAACTGACTGAGCCATCCAGGTGCCCAGAGAGCTGCTGTCTTTTAAGTGTTGGGGGGGGATGCGGGGTGAACCTGAGGGGCTGGGCACTTCCAGTGATCCCTGGGGTGTTAGAGATTAAGGTCTACACTCTGAGATGAGAGCTCCTCTAAGATTTCTCTGGTCTTGGAATTGCTAACTTTTATATTAGTTCAGGTAACTAGGTTAAATTCTAAGCACATCAACATTTGTGAACTTCTTCTGGCTAAAATTTTTGCTCTCATCTTTATAAGAGTAGAGTGGGTAGGAGGTGAACTTTGAAGCTGTAAAGCCAAGATTCACATCTCCCTCCTTCATTTACTAGTTTCATGACCTTGGGCAAGTAAGTTAACTGTGGTTTTACTGGAGTTACTTTATATATGCTGGGAGTGATTTGGGGATTCTTTTGAATGTATTTATACTCATAAACATTTAGAAGAGTATTTGGCTCATTTGTGTACATGGTCAATAAGGTTGACTATTTACAAAGGCAAATCGTTTTTAAAAATTTATTATTTATTTTAAAATTTATTATCCATTTTTTATTTATCATTTATTTGTTAACAATAAAGATTGACTATATACTTTTGACAGTAACATATTGTTACTGAAATAGTTGAGAATGACAATCCATTAACTTGTTAATGGCCACAAGGAGTGTAAACTCAGTATAAGCTCAGAGGTGATAAAGTGCAATGTTGGCTGGGTGGGTTTGATCATGAGGATTAGCAACCTGAGTGTCACAAAAACCACCATTATTGAGATTCTGTCTCAGCACCTTAAATGTTGTAATTCCATAATGTTTTTATATTACAAATATTACATACATGTGACAAACAAATGTGATAAAGATATTTGAAAATTGTATTTAGTAATCATTTTGGGGGGTAATCTAGGAATAAAAACTGTTATTAAAAATAAAAAAATGCAAAAACAATTCTTCTCCTATCCAAATTTTGTCTTGTTTTCACTCCATTAAGTAAAAAGTGGGGGTGATGAGACTATAGAAGTAGGTGTGGTTGGTTAGCCTGTGTAATGCCTCACATGCCCCCTTAGGCATTTTATAGCTTGTTCTAAGAGTAATAGGAAGCAAGGGTAATGTTGGAATAAGGTTAGTTTTGAAATTTGCACTCTAACTATGGAAAATAAAACTGAGGGGGCAAACATGAAGGTGGAGGAATTCATTAAGGGAGCTGACCAGTTCTCCTGCTGGGGGCTGGTCAAGGGGTGTGCCCCATTTCCCAGATGCAGTGTTAGGAGGAGTGGTCCCAGTATTGTGACATGGAGGATTTCCAGAGAGATCCCAACCTTTACCCACCCCCAGAATATCACAAAGTAATAGCTGTCAGCTCCTTGAGCCATAACAATGCCATACAAAGTATTTTCTTTCCCTCTTTGCAGGAGGGCAACTCCCTCAGGAAGGTCTGCATACAGTTCTCTCCTCTGGAACTTTGAGAATTGACCATGCAGCACATCATGACCAAGGCCAATATGAATGTCAGGCAGTAAGTCCATTGGGAGTGAAAAAAGCGTCTGTCCAGCTGACTGTAAAACCCAAAGGTAATGCGTGCTGTGACTGGGTTTACACACCTGAAGAGTGCCTCTTTATGTGTCTTACACACATCCCCAGGGTCTTTATTAATTAGTTATTTTTTATTTTATAGGATCTAAGAAATTGCAAATTTTACAACTTTCTTTCAATCAGTCTTTTTTTCAAACTTGAGGATTTTATTTCTATTAATACTAATTATTAATGTTTCTTCCCAAAATATCATTTTGTGTTTTCTTACATTTTTTGCAAAGCTAGTTAATTAGCCCTACCTGCAGAGACTAGCTCACAAAAAGATACATTTCTCATACCTGATGGTCTGAATTTTGATCTTATATTGATGTATCATTTATGCTCAGGGTTATTGGGAATATACTGCAGACACTTTGCTCCAGACTCATCATGAAATACAGTACTTTGGTTTATCATAAATAATAATATTCTAGTATGAGGTTGGGTTATTAGCCCATAATTTATCATTAATTGACATGTAAAAAAAAGAAAACCCAATGCTTAAAATTTTTTTTTTTAAAGATTTTATTTATTTATTTGACAGAGAGAGACACAGCGAGAGGGAACACAAGCAGGGGGAGTGGGAGAGGGAGAAAGAAGCAGGCTTCCCACCGAGCAGGGAGCCCGATGTGGGGCTCGATCCCAGGACCCTGGGATTATGACCTGAGCCGAAGGCAGACGCTTAACGACTGAGCCACCCAGGCGCCCCTCAAGGCTTAAATTTTTAAAGATAGTTCCAATGTAAGGATTGAAAATGGTTGTTATTAAGTATTCTTGAAATTTCTTCTTAGTGGTTTATGTTGAAATGGAGAACCTAAGTTATATATATATAGTGCCTAAACTGCATTTTTAGCATTGTTTTACATTTAATTTCCTAGGTTTCTCCATAAATTTGCTATAATTTATTTTGATGTAGTATATCTAAATTCAGAGGTAACATATTTAGATAAGGTTGGCCAGATGTAGCAATATAAATATTAAAAGAAATATTAATAATGTTGAAATGTTCAATGATGCTGAGACATAAGATTATACTGAACTAATATCTATGTACAATCTAGTATTGATTCCTTTCTCACTATATTTTCAACATATCAAGTGCTTATTATTATTTATTTGATGGAAGTTAAGGTTCTATGAAGAGGAAAAAGAATATTAAGGAGAGTAGTCAAGTAGCAGCTGAAATGCATGGGAAGATTTGAAAAACACTATTGAAAGATGCCTTTAGAAAACCCCATTTCTTTGGTTCATTCTTTCTAAGAGGAAATGCTGAAATCTGCTCTGCAGAATGTTAAAATTACTTTTGAATTGTTTTTCAACTAATTCAACTAATTTAAAAATCAGAAGGTTTTTACATTAATATCTTTTTATTTTAAAGATTTATTTATTTATTTGAAAGGGACAGAGATAGTGTGAGAGAGAGCGTGTTTGGGGGGGTGCAGAGGGAAAGAGAGAGAGAGAGAAACTCAAGCAGACTCTGATTTGGGGCTTGATTTCATGACCCTGAGATCATGACCTAAGCCAAAACCAAGAGTCAGATGCTCAACCAACTGTACCACCCAGGCACCCCTACATTAATATCTTTTTAAAAAGGAGGACATATTAAATCAACACATTGTAGTCAAATAAAATATAGCATGAAGTTAATGGTCTTAGTTTTGTCCTCTTTTTGCTCCATTATTATATCCTTCCACCAATGTCTCCCACTGACCCTCTAGATCTCAATTTGGAAGCATGCTCCAACCCAAGGAGGGTTCCTTTTCTCCACTCTGTAAGATATTTTAAGATGCCACTGTTGAAATTAATATTAGAATATACCATTTAATCTAATAGTTGACACATGTGGAGGAATTTGATAAATTTATCAAATATACATAGCTACGAAAATATTATCAATAGACAGAAATGTAGAAACAAACAAGTTTTTTTTTTTTAGCAAACAGAGAGCCCTACATGTTGAACAGAAACCATGTGAATGGAGTGGGGAAGAGGGCCATAGAGAGGAAAGGGTTGGGATGGTTGGTTGAGTTAGAATGTATCAGATCTTAACTATAGCCCATGGAAGTTTCCAATTGTTGGCCAGATATATTATGTGGGATATTAATCAGCCCAAAATGAATAGGCAAATGTTGAAGTGAAGAAACTCTAAAAATAAGAAACCGTTAAATCTATGACATAGCCAAGTGATGTGTGAGGTGACCTGGACATCCATGACAGAGGGAATGGAAGAGTTAATGAATTCAAGTGAACATATAACAGGTGGAACCATTTTATCTCTGAAGTTATTAACAATATTTTTTTTACCAGTACCCCTGACAATATTTTGCAGGCCCCATTTTGTTTGTATTGAAGTGTTTCTCAAAGTGTGTTCGTGGATTGTCAGTGGAGGAAATTTCCAAGACCCTTTCAAGGGGGTTTTTAGGTTAAAACTATTTCATAATAATATCAAGATCTTATTTGCCTTTTTTACTAGATTGACATTTGCCCTGATGGTACCAAGATAATGTTGGATAAAAGTGCTGGAGCCTTAACATGAACAAAAGCAGTGGTACCAAACTGTATTAGTAATTCATATATTCTTTCCTTGTAATGGGAAAAAGAAAGTAATTTTATTTACAATGTTACTGATAAAACAGGGGGAAAAATACTACTTTTATTAAATCTTGGTGCTCTAGAAGATGCTTCATGAAAGAAATTGGCAAAAGAAGCTATCAATTGTCAAATTTTGATGTAGTATCATAGATTTTTCACAATTATCTGAAAAAACTTTTAAAATATCCCTACATTTTGCAAATACTTATCTTTCTGATGCCATATTTTATTCATATACTTCAACTAAAATGACTAATTGCAAGAGATTGAACTCAAAGCAGTTATTCAATTATTGAGATTTGCAGAAGTGTAGAACAATATGCTACTCCACTCACTACTTTTATTTTTGGAAAATTAATTAATGTTCATAAAATTGTGTTATTTATCTGAAAATTGTATGAGTTTATAACTAATTTTTGAATAAGTAAATTTTAAAGTTCTCAGATTTAATTTCTAATATGGTGAACATAGCTACATATAACCAACATAAATAAAAGCTCTGAGCTTCTCAATAATTTTTAAGTGTAGTATTCCTGAGGTTAATGTGTTTTAGTAACATTCATTTGTTGGATCTTCTTTGCCTGATTTCTAGATCTTTCATTTTTCTTTTTAATCTCTTTAAACTCTTTGTTGCCACATCATTTGACTTGCCTTTCTCATGTCTACCCTTTATGTCCCTTGCTGTGTTATGAACAGTGTGTATTCACTTCAGAGATGCTTCTAACTTTTAGCTATGCAATAGTTTTATTTTTTCCACTAATATTTTGCTCAAGTATATGCAAATATATATATAAACATTGGATGAAACTAGTAATTTTATAGAAACATATATTAATGAAAACTAATTCCAGAAGAGATAGAAATATAAACAGAATATAGTAGGGGAGACAAAAGTTGCCAAAGATCACAGCAGTGCAGATACCCAGCTGTTACTCTTTGGCATAGCTGAATAGACTGTTAATTATTCTGAATATTAAACTTGCAAAAGAGATCTCTCCAGTAAGAGCATGTGGCCATGTGGTTTCCCAAGGAAAACCATCACATCTATAAGTAACAAAAATTCTAATGCTATTTATGTTGTTTCAGGAATTAGAAAATAATAAACATGCTAAAAATATTTTTAGTAAAACAAACGTAAGCTTGATAACAAAATCCTAAGAGTTGATTAAAATATATAAAGGAAAAACTATCTTGCACATCTATGCAAAATATCCAATAATGTAAATAAATAAATGTAGTTATAAGTCATAAAGAATCCAGTAGCACATGAAAAAATATTAGTCCATAATTAAATGGTTTTTATTGCAGAAAGTCAAAGATAGTGTAATAATAGGAAAGCTATTAATATATTTTATCATATTAATGGATTTCAGAAGAAAAATCAGGATTCTTTCCATAGATGCTAAAAAGACATTTAATAAAATTCAACATTTATTCTCATTAGAAATGCTCAGTTAACATAGGTCTGAACAAACATTTCTTCAACATGATAAAATAGATTTACATTCCTGGATTTTTTGCATAGGCATACAAATAGTTTTCCTTTCATATATTTTAATGATTACACTTGCTTTACTGAACTCATTAGCCAGAATCCTGCTTAATAGAGAAATGGTATAAATAGTTTCACTAAAGAAAAGATTTCTGTTGTCATTACTATCACTTGATATAGATTTGGAGAGACAAATTATTACAATTAGCCAAGAGACATAAGAAAGAATAACCAGGAAAATTCTGAGAGAGAACCATAATTAAAGAGGACTTATCATACTGAATTATAAAATATATAATAAAGCCACATAAATTAAAACTACCCAGATAGTACATTAAGACAAAATATATAATCTACAAATTGATTCTCTTTCATATGGGAATGCCATATATGAAAAAGATGGCATTTCCTTTGAGTGAAGAAAAGGTAACAATTTAATAACCTTTGGGAATAACTAGGTAGACATATGAAAAATAGCACTGTGTGCATATGATGTACATTTTGTTCTGGAGATGTCTTTCTAGTCAGGAAGTGTATGTGACTGGCCCTTCTTGAGATCTGTGTCATAGCCTCTTCCACACACATCTCTACTGATCTTCTCTGCTTTAGGTAGCCCTCCCTCCAACTTTTTTGGTGGAGTGGGCTTTAGTGCTTCCTTAATTTTACTGAAAATGAATCTGGTAGTTTTATAAGCAAAACTAGCAGTATGTTTCTGATTTTCATCCTCCCTGTTGCTGTTGGATCATTTTTTTGGATAAAAACTGGAAATGCCACCCTTATGCTCCCACCAGGCTCCATTTCTTCTTTTCAATATTTAAGTCTAACAATCTATATGCAATTCTTTTCCTGGCCTTCTCTCAGTGCAGGCTGGAGCAGGTGACTCTAGTAGATGGGGTGTCCATCTAAGTGTAGGGA